GTCAGGAGCTGTGTCTGCAGGGGCAGCTGACCCCCAACCTGGTTAGTGAAGGGGTCAGAGGGAGCTCTAACTGCCCTATGGTAAGAAAACCAAAGGCAAACAGCAAAACATATAAGCATTTAGAAATCATTTTATTATGATAATAGAGACACTGGTAGGCTTCCAAACTGATTTAACATTATAGATATATCAATAAAACATGCCCAACTGATTGCTGTCTCGCTCTCTTGCTCTCTCTCTATATAGTGGTCTTTTGTTTTAATTGTGGAGGAACATGGATTTGGGGGTATTTTACAGAGTGACTTTGGGATTTTTTTATCAGAGATTTTTCAGTTTTCAGATAGGTGACACCAGAATTCCTGCTAGGGAGGCAAGTGGCAGGACCCAGGCAGAGGAGCCTGCTCAGAACTGGCACCTTGGACCCAGCTGGAGGTGGCTGATCTCCTGGCCAGTTGGGGCCAGGAGGACATGCTTTGACAGTTCAAAGCAGGCCACCACACTGGGAACATCTTCTAGGTGATGGCTGCCCAGATGGCCGGGCAGGGGCACACATGGCAATAGTGCCACACAGAGGCCAGCTCTGCAGCCACAGTCCACTGGCAGCCGGCCTAGAGGAGAAGTGGCAGCTGGCCTAGAGGAGAAGATGCTTCTATTGGCTGTGCAGTCCTCATCTGGGTCTGGCAGCTGTGCAGCAGGTCACAGCCAGGCAGTAGCCCCCACTGCCACTCTGGGTAGAGGGTGCAGGGAACTCTCAGGGCTGCTTCAGCAGTCCAGCTGGCACAAGGGGTAGTGTCCCCAGGTACCAATTGGCTGGGCCCCAGAAGCTCCTGAGAGTGAGTAGCCCTGAGCTACTTGCCAGGGCAACTTTTTGTACTGATGGGGCCAGGACAGGGAAGCTTTTTACACTGCTGGGGCAAGCACAAGTTCTGTCCCCAGGCTTTAGCTCTCCTTGGCTGCAGATCCGGGAGGAACCAGGCAGGGTTATTTTGCCCTGAGTGGCACAACTTGCTTCACACCAAAGTACATGTCTGGGAACGTGCACTGAAGCAAAAAGCCCTGGCTCAAATTTGCACTGCTTCTATTTGAGCTGCTGCAAGCGCACATGATTGCATGAGTGGATGCACCCACACAGCTCAACCAGCCACTGATTTCCCGCCACTCACTCACCATGAGTACGGGATACCCACGTGCACTGGTCCACATTGGCTGTTGGCCACCCCAGGGCCCTTCGGGCACAATGATCCAGGCATGCACCCAGCAGTTGCATAACAAGATGTGCTGTATTAGTCTCCCAGGACTCTCACTCACTCTCTCAGGCAAACCTCAGGGAACAAGATCCAAATTCAGAGAACACAGATCCCTCAGACCTTCTCCCTCATTCCTCACTGGCACCTGCCAGTCATCCATACATCCAATCAGATATTTGTGCACATGATACTCATGCCCTTTCACATAGTACTCTCTCATGCACACGGTACTCAGCTGGCGCTCAAATAACATGCTTACTTTTCACCTCACACATTCCTGCCAAGTGTGGGCTACTCAACTACGCATACTCAGGACCAGCTATGTAGGTCAGGGTTGAAAAGTTCAGCCCTTCTAGAAGCTGCACTTCATTGACCATACTCAAACAAAACTATAGCACAAATAATTTACTAACCAGGCCAGGGGACACTACCATTTTCTCCATCTACAGGTCGGACATGGAGATGATACTGTGCCAGTTAGCCCCATACTGTAGCACCCTCATGCACCAGCCGGACCCTCCACAGCATGTTGCGCTATGGCAGAGTAGCTCTGGGCTGGCAGGCTGACCCCCCAGGCCTCTGCCCACTGTGGCTGCTCTGCCCCAGTTCAATGTGCTGCAGTCCTGGGCGCACATGTAAATGCTATGTCCAGGAGCAATAAACTGCAGTTTATTCATCCATGCCAATTGCACGTATAAATTTACTTGAAGAGAGTGAAATAGATTTGTCCACTTCTAAGATACCCTGTAAATTTAAACTGTAGCTTACTGTGCAACTTCTTCATTGAGACAAGCTCCCCAAAATATGTTTCCAAGAGTTCCCAGGCACAGAGGGAGTGAATTCCTTGCTACTGCTTTCCATTTGCCAGCATCTGAGGTAATGGTAATATGGCTTAGCCTCCTGCCTGCCAGGGTTTGGAAACATCTGAAGGCCACTAATGGGGGGCAACTGTTGTGCTTACACAAAGTGTATAATTGTGGGCCCAGTGGTGGCCTCCATTGACTTGAGCTGCAACTGTAAAATATTAATTGGGTCATGGGAAGGAGGATTGGTTTCAGAGCCCAATGGTTAAGGCAGGCCCTGGAAGGTGGAAAAGTAAGAGTCAAGTTCTTCTTCCTATAAACATTTAGGTATTTTAAGCAAGAAAAAGGAAAGTTCCAACAGAAGAGATTGAGAAACACCCCACCAACAAATACATAGCCCCTGGTTAGGGGACTTTGGTGGGAGACCTAGGTTCAATCAGTCAGAGCAAGGACTTGGACCAGTACTCTGTATATCTTCAGTGAGTGCTCTAGCTAATTAGGTGTAAAGGGAAACACCTCCTCTTCTTTTGTGGGTGTGGGGAGCGTCTGGCTAACTTAGGCAGCCCCCTACCCCATGCATTAGCTTTTGTGGGCCCATTCTTAAATGCCTTGCTTTCTCCATATAAAGGTGGTTAGACACCTAACTCAGGATTGTTAATTCCATTCAGCAGTGAGACATCTGAGATTTAAGTATTGCAGCTCTGTGCCCACATCCCCTTAGTGTACCAGCCCCCAGTCTTTTAATGTTGTCTTAGTTGAAGCAAATCTGCGGGCCCTGGTGCCCTCTACCCACGGGTGTTGAGAGAGCTGGCGGGGGTCACTGCTGTGCCCTTGGCCCGGCTGTATGAGTGATCGTGGTCCACAGGCCAGGTGCCTGGAGATTAGAAACTAGCTAATGTGGTCCCCATTTATAAGAAAGGGAGAAAGGAGGACCCAGGAAACTATAGGCCCATAAGCCTCACATCGGTCTTGGGGAAAATCCTTGAAATAATTATCAAGGATCACATCTGTAAGGGACCAGCAGGGGAGATCATGCCCAGGGGAAATCAACATGGGTTCATCAAAGGCAGGTCCTGCCAGACCAACCTGATTGCCTTTTATGACCAAGTAACTAAATCCCTGGATGATGGTGTCACTGTGGACGTAGTCTTTCTGGACTTTAAGAAGGCCTTTGACACTGTCTCTCACCCCATTCTCATTAATAAACTGAGCGACTGTGGCATTGATGCCTACACAGTTGGAGGGGTCAAAAATTGGCTGATGAGGTGCACCCAGAGAGTGGTGGTGGACGAGTCATACGCGACCTGGCAGGATGTGAATAGTGGGGTCCCCCAGGGCTCGGTCCTGGGGCATACACTGTTCAGCATTTTTATCAGCAACTTGGACGATGGGGTGGCAAACACGTTGTCCAAGTTTGCTGATGTCACCAAGATGTGGGGAGAGGTAGGCACGCTCGAATGGAGAGAGGCTGCAATTAGACCTAGACAGACTACAGAAGTGGGCGGATGGTAATAGGATGGGCTTCAATGTAGATAAATGCAGGGTGCTGCACCTG